ATTTCTTAAAGAGTCTCCTTTTCAATAAATTTATCTTCTGCAACCCTCATTAATACAGCCACCGCCTTATTAAAAGACGCATCCAAAGCAGTTAATAAGGAGAATGATGTAAAACTCAGCCAAAATGACTTGCAAATCATGATCATAATTGCACGATAACATCGATATTGGATCATGCGATGATAAATATCTAATCGTTGCATGACCAATATCTTATAATTACAGGAAAATCCTCTTCGATAGTCACATCATAGATTGCGATTACTAATATTACCATATTGAAATATTACTGTATTAAGAATTGATTCGTAACGGTATTCAGATATCACGTAATTCATAATTGACTAATCAATTTCAAGTTTAATTTATTTTATTCATTTGATCTATTTTTAGAACATTGAATTTTTAAAGAATGGCAAAAATCTATTAAATCAACGTTGAATAAAATCTTAAAATCGACCAAAAATGCCGAAGGTGTTTTCCTAGTTCATTCCCCAAATGGCGGCATAGTCCCGATGCATTCCGACCCGAAATTTCGAGATTCTATTCTTGATATGTATAATATATATAAATAAATCTACATCAAAAAAAAAAAAAAACTAGCCCCAACGCACCTGGCTTTAATGATACCACAGGTTAGGGTCTGGTTTAGGCGATTATGTAGCAAAATCGCTCAAGGGAACTTTTTGCTAGTGCATGGAAGGTGGTTTCTATGTAACCTTTTGAAAAAACAAGCGATTTTTGATAAAACGTTCTTCATGATCGTGTAACACTACTATCACATGATGATCGCATTAGCCAATAATGAATTATGATATAACGTAATACAATCAGGAAAATTCAAAGCAATCATTTGATAAAATTCCTTCTTGTTCTCATCTTAACTCTTAATAAATTTTAAATGCTGCAATATGAAGTTGTTTTGTCAATTATCGCAAGACCTCAAACCTGATATGTTATTGTTTAACACATAGCTGAAAATAATAACCATGGTTCCGAAGAAAATTAATAATCTTTTTTTTTTTTTTTTAATAGATATTGGTCGAAATAGTTGATAGAGCCTTGATTACATTTTTGATATACTGGTAATACAGTTATTATACAGTTGAGTAATATTGTTGTATGTTCGAAAATTTTGGTTTAGGTAGTAACTTTGTGAATTGTTATGCAAGGTCTCATATTATTTTTCAAAACACTTTTAGTTCAATTTTTTATCAAATTAATATTAATTCTTTTAAGATTTCTATGAACAGGTAAATTTGTAATTTTAATACATATATATTAAAGTTATTATTTACGTTTTAAAAAAAAAAAAAATTAGATTTTCAGATCGCCAACACGCGTGTTTAACACGTTTGTTTATCTTAGTGTTTTGAACCGTCAACCGAAAGTTCAACCGGGGCTGATCCGGGTAGACTTCCGGGTATTCCCAGCCAATCGCTGATGTTTGTTTACATCGGGTAAAATAGGATGCGTCAATCCTATTTTACCCGATGTAAACAAACATCAGCGATTGGCTGGGAATACCCGGAAGTCTACCCGGATCAGCCCCGGTTGAACTTTCGGTTGACGGTTCAAAACACTAGTTTATCTATACGCATATTGTTGTGATCATGCAATCATCCAACAAAAATTTGTACTACATGCAGAATACTTTAGTATTGTCATAACAAATTTTTTTTTAAATACCATTGCAATTTATCTGTTTACATAGTTCTGTAGTTGACTATTACTTTTAACTAAATCATAGTCATTTTTTTAAATTATGTCTAATACGAAAGAAAACAAGTTAATTACAAAAGGAAGACTTGCCTACTTTGAATTGTTTGATTATAATAAGTGATCCTTAGATCATTTTGATTCCTGGGTGCATGGCAACTTTGGTTATATGAGAGACAACGCGAAACTATTTTTTAAAATCCTTAGTATTATTAAAAATGACCCAAGCACTTCGCGAAAAGTAAGAAAAACCGTTAATGCTTTAATAAACAAGAAGAATAAAACAAAAGTAAGTACTATAAAATATTTGGTTTGTTTTTTAATTTGTTGGATTATTCTTCTAAGTTTAGGTAGTATAAAGTCTGAGTAAAATTATTTTCTATATTAAAATTTGAGTTCTTTAATGTTTATAATTCAAACCATCGAACTTTCAATAGGTTGAGGCAAATTTTTATAGTAAAAGAGAGGCACTACCTACTTCATATTCACGAAAACATCTAAATTCCAAAACAAATCAATTAAAAAAAAGGTAATTTATTATAAATTTTTAATTAAAAAAAAAATACTTCTAATTTCTTATTTGGATTTTTTTTTTAAAAAAATTTGACAAGTAAGTCAAGTTGAAGTAATTTGTATTTAACAAATCATATTATTGAATAACTAAGACTACAAAAAGTGAGATTAAGACTAGGTTCTACGACAAAATCTCAAAAGATTTATACTCTAACCAGTCCTTTAAATACTTCATAAAGTTTTAGTGTCTTAAGAATATGAAAATTATGGTTGTTAAGTTTTTTATTTCAACATTTAATTTATTTGCTATTTACAAAATAGAATGCATTTTGCAAATAGCAATAAATTTTATTTAGTACAATTTGCTATTTTACTGCAACTAAGAATTAAAACTAAACTAATATAATGAATATTTTAACTTAGTTATTAAGAAAATAACGAAATGGTCATCCAAAGGCTTGATAATTTTGAAAAGTTTTTAAAAGATCAGCAAAAATCCGAGGAGGCTATTTCAATATCCAATATAAAACGCAGTGATTGGAATAAAATTCAAATAGCAACCGGCCTTAAGCTTGAGGTCATCGACCCAAAATTTAATTACGAAGTAAAGTCCAAAGCTTTTCAATGGGAAGCTCGGCTGGAGTATGACAAAAGGACCGATATTTGCCACACCTACGTAATATACTTCAAATTTCCAAATATAGGAAGCTTGAAGTATATGATGCGTCAAAAAATAATAATTTTTTAAGTTGGATAGTATAGATCAGACATTTACCGGCCAGACTCATTGGTACTACAGTTGACAGATTTTCAATTTCAGCAAGGGTTCCACAAAATCATATTTAGATCCTTTTTGAATTAAAAAAATTCTGTTAACGATGGCAACATTTATCAAGCACTAGCAGAACTAACAGCCAGCGATCTTAAATCATCACATACAGTGTTAACTGTCCTGACCGATATAATAGATGACCGGCAGTTTTTCTGCTTTGAAGATGGAAGAATTGTGACATTTACCCTTTCTAGGGGTAAAGCTTTGTCGCTAATTCACCAAAACTTAAAATACTTTAATCGTGAGTCAGATGAAGAAATGAGACAGAGCCATTTCCAAAACGGGTGAAACTTATGAGCATTAGTCAAAATTAAATTTTACGGAATAATGTTTTACCATGTAAAGCGATAGAGGAAGAATCCAGATATATTTTTATAATCTGAATATAAATATTATCAAAAATTGAATCTGGATTAATCTATTGTCACGGTTTTAGAATTAAACCAGTGACTTAGATGTGCTTGGTGGTACTAAAAGCCCGAATGACCTGAGCCACAAGAATATTGTAAGGCTCCTAGGTGGCGAATAGAGGCTTAATAATGTTTGTTTATCTAACATACGATAGTATGATGTGAGATAAACCCGTTATTGTTTGATCAGAGATTGTTGTATAAGCTAGTAATTGTTGGCATACAACAACTGTTGTTGGTATGCGTAGCAACAATTGTTGTTAACCAAGGCTGTTGGAAATATGTGAGGCTTTTCCAAGACAGTGCTGTCCATGGCCCGCGCACAATGCTGCTTCACAGTTTTGTGAGTACAAAGACTCTTAGAATGGAGAGATTAAAGATAGCGCAGTAGCACTTAGTGTGAGTTTTTGCCTTAGTTAAGTTTCCTCAGACTATTCATCTCAGACCATGTCTCAGAAAGATTACGATGTTTTAGTTATAGAGTTATATGAATCGGATTTTTACATGTGTAGCATTATTTTATTAGTTTAGTTATATTCTTTTAATATTGTATTATTCTTTATTATTCTTTATTATCTCGCATTTATTATATTATTGTTACATAATAAATTACCCCCGAATAATTAAAGTTGACATATTAAGTGATAACCCCGACCCAGCTTAAGAGTTTTGTGACATCATACACGCGTACAAGCGTTATAAAATCCCGAACCAAGTTAACCATCGGAGCTAGATTGGATTAACATCCGCAATTGCTCTCCCAACCGATGGTAGCACTATTTGAAATCCGGATATAAACATATCCGAATGTATCCGGATATATGCCTTCTAAATTAGTAATAAATATATGTATTATATTTTGTTGACATAATACTGAAAAGACAAATGTTATGCTAAAGAAAAAGATAAGTGATACTGAGTCAAGATTTATAAAAAAATCTCAGATATAGTAAATAATAATGTCATTCAGGATATAATCTATTTATTACTAAATGTACACTTGTTAAGACCATAAGATTTTTTTGTGAATCCTATACATTTTTATTCACCAAAGGTAAGAGAATCAACAGACATCTGTAACATTTATCTTTTACAATATCATAAAAGGGATAAGTATCGTGATAAATCATTTTGTCAGAATTTTTATATACTAATCATGCCAGACTAAAGACCTTATCAATTCGGTGTTGGCTAAATTTTTGTCACTTGTTCCAGAATTTGAGAATAATTGTCATATCAGAATTTATTTATGTCTGAATTTATAATATCCGGATTTATTTATATCTGGATTTATTTTATGTTCAGATTTATATATCATATCCGGATTATATTATATCTGGATATATGTATTCAAAAAATTGAATCCGGATTCAATTACTACTTCTAATCATTACATCAGATCATTTTGTGACCATCGGAAAATGAACCTATTTTTGAATAAATTTGTGCATAATTCATCTTTTACATATCACATAAAACTAAAGGATCTGCAATAAATGTATTATCATGGATAGCGAAAATGGAAACGTAACAGGAATTAATGAAGATCCAATAAATATGTCGAGAATTCAATTAATACAGCTGTAATACTGATTATTTAATGGGAAAGGAATATTTACCCTAGCTCGGTCTATTGCAGCTAATTCCAGTTTCTTTGCATTTAGATATTTTAAAGTTTTATAATCAGGATTACAATGTCCAATGGATACAAGATAAACTCATCTGACAATTAAATGCAGCACTGAATGTCAATATAATTAAATGGAATATTATGAAAGGTACTGTCGTTGGTATGCCCATTATCAGTGGACTTTCAATGGCAAAATTAATTTCCAATGCCATCTGCTATGATGAATCCAACTAAAACTATTAAAATAACTAGTCCAAAAGATGCTGTAATGAAATTTGGACTGCCTATCAACAACATGTTTCTTAATTTATTTAAAAAATTTATTATCAACAAGGCATTTCTTAATCATTTTAAAGAAATTATTTGCCATGTTTTAAGAAAATTAACTGGTGAAATGATTGCAAGATTATCGACAATTTGAGTGTCAAATTTATAACGATTGAATTTTTACATATATCTCGCGTTTATCGAAAAAAAAAAAGATTTTATATTTCAACTAATTAGCGTCATTACATTGGTAACGTGAATACGCGATTTAAAGTTGCTAGAAGCTAGATTAAATAAATACATTTCGGTTTATTTTTAGTTTTTTTTCTCGAATTAACTTTTTTGCATATTTACCCAGTACGGATGACTTTATGTATATATCACACAATCTGTCACGTCTAAACTTAAATATAACACAAATTAGACGAATTTACAAAAATAATATGCTTACTACTAATGTATTATTAATTTTTTATTTTTTTTTAAAAAAAAAAACCTTAGTGGTTGTGCACCATGGGACGTTGGGGTGTGCGATATACTAAGTAAATCAAAATTATATGTGGTCATATAATAAAATTTATTAATGAAGATTTTTTAGATAGAGAATAACTTTATAGTAATTATAGCAAAGTTTTAAATAGATACACAGCCCTAACGGCTTGATAGATTTGGATGAAATTTTGTAAAGACTAGTATTATGCCTTTACGAACAAAACTATAGAGCCATTTCTTTTATTTAAGCATGAAAAAATTAATATACTATATATGTATTTTTTTTTTTTCTTAAAAAAAAGAAAAACAAGAGAGAACCCTAATTTAGTTTCTTTTTAAAAGAAATGGCTCTATAGCTTTGTTCGTAAAGACGTAATACTAGTCTTTGCAAACTTTTATCCAAATCTATCAAACCGTTAGAGCTGTGCATCTATTTAAAATTTTGTTATAATTACTATAAATTATTGTCTATCTAAAAAATCTTCATTAATAAATTTTATTATATGACTACACATAGTTTTGATTTACATAGTATATTGCACACCCCAATGGGACGTCGAGTGACGCATTGTATTATTAATTTTTATATTATTTTATTATTATTAATTTTTATA